TATTTAAAATTTTTATCATAAACTATTTATGCAGTGTGTTGTAGTAAGTAAATAATTTTTATCTTTTTCTTTGTGTGCCGCCAAATTTTGAAATCGTTAAATATGTGCCGCAACAAAAAAAAGGTTGAGAATCACTGCAATAGACGATGCAGAATGAGCGTGTTGTTTAACGTATTGCAATGGAAAAATTAAATAATAATTATTATCAGCTAGAACTATATACCTTCAATCAATGTGTGTTGCCAGTGATGACCTACGGAACCGAGACGTGGTCCTTCGCTGCTGGCCGTATGAGGAAGCTCAAAGTCGCTCAGCGAGCTATGGAGCGGGCTATGCTCGGTATTTCTCTGCGTGATAGAGTTCGTAACGAAGACATCCGCAGTAGAACCAAGATAACCGATATAGCTCAGAGGATTAGCAAGCTGAAGTGGCGATGGGCCGGCCATATAGCTCGTAGAACCGATAACCGTTGGGGAAGAAAGGTTCTCGAGTGGCAGCCTCGGACTGGCCATCGCAGTGTAGGACGACCCCCCACTAAATGGAGTGACGACCTGCGCAAATGTGCGGGAAGTCGATGGATGCAGGTGGCTCAGGATCGTACTTCATGGCAGTCTGTGGGGGAGGCCTATGTTCAGCAGTGGACTCAAACAGGCTGATATGATGATGATGATACCTATATAGCCGTGATAGCTCCGTGTCTTGGCGCTCGCCTTTGATTCAATTTACTCGAGCAACCTGAGTTGATCCCCGCTGCCAGCACCAATGAAAATGTTAATTTTAAGTGGTGATTTATCACGTGGAAGGAAAACATCGTAAGGAAACCTGCATATTTTAGAAATAATAACAAAAAATATATATATTTCGAAAATATGTGAAGTCCGCCAATCCGCAGTGGGGTCGCGTGGTGGACTATGCCCTGACACCCTCTTTACAGAGGGGACCCTTGCCCGGCAGTGGGACATATATAGACTGTTACTTTAATTTTTTATATACCTATACATAATTAGTATATAACGTAATACACACTACTGATACAATCTCGGTTACGTCGCCACCAGTCTGTAATTACTCACGCCTCATCAATCATTTGCATTGTCTGTCGTGTACAAGGGAATTGACTCCGTATTAACAACCGAATACGTAGAATGCTTGATTTTGCATTAGGCTTCGTATAATTTGATCAATATTGTTACGAGTACATCTCGATAGTTGACCACTAAGTTCTGTCACTAGGTCGGTTCACAAAAATATTCCCACATAAAAAATCGCTTTTCTTTTATTGCATTCTAATAATATAATAATTAGTCTGTATGTCAATAGCGTACCATACACGCTTTTTAATCTATATAAAGTTAAAAAATATTATTCTACAGCCTAATAAATCTTTCAAACAATCTCTAAAGTTACTAAATGTTTTTAAAGAATTAAAAAAAATCTGTAAGTACAAAAAATAAACCGTAAGAACAAGTAACTTTTTTCATATAATCTACAAATAACAACGTCTTATCCGATACAAGCTTACAAAAAACTGAGCATAATATTTCTTCTATTAGAAAATATCACTACATTTCAGAATAAAATATCTATAACTTTGGAAAAATACGTAATGAATAAATAATAATTAATTTTAATGCTTTACATGCTATTGATTTCCGTATTTGAAGGTCGTTCGAAGCCAGTACAACTTTAGTTATAAACGAGAGAAAGCTTTTAAAACGGATTAAGCCTTCCGAACATCTGTTGTCAGAGGGGGGTATCGAAACACATTTGAACGACACACGCTAATTGCTAAGCAAACAGCCCTCCCCACGCGCTGTCTACCCTACATACGAACGTAAACGTTTAATGTAACTTTGTGTTCCCACTTAACTTGACTGAAATGCTATTTAAACATATTTTATTTAAACTTGACGATTGGCGTAGTGGGTAGTGAACCCCACTAATGTGCAAATGTTGTGAGATGATTAAAGTTTTTTCTAGTCGGAGGGTGTCTATGTATCTATAAGATATATTTATTTACTAACTAAAAGTATGAATCAGTACATCTGTCTGTTATCTGACACTCAAAGCTTTGCGTGTTTTAGGACTAAATGACCTTGTGTCATTTATTTAAAACGATTGGCAAACTAGCCGGCGGTTCACCTGATGTTAAGCGATAACCGCCGCCCATGGACATTTGCAATACCCGTACAGTTGCAGATGTGTTGCCACATTTGAATAAAGTGGCATCCAGTTACTTCACTCACCAGACGAAACGCAGAAGTATGACTATCACATCGCGCTGGTCATCTGTGAGGTCGTGGGACTTACCCGGAACCTGCCCATTAGTGTAACAGTGCGAGAGCCGTGATAGCTCAGTGTCCGGGCGCTCGCCTTTAGTTCAATATACTCGAGCAACCTGAGTTCGATCCCAGGTGCCGGCACCAATGAAGTTTTTAACTTTAAGTGCTGACTTATCACGTGCTCCGTGGTGAAGGAAAACATCGTGAGGAAACCTACATATTTTCGAATTAATAACAAAAAAAAATCGAAGATATGTGAAGTCCGCCAATCCGCAGTGGGGCCGCGTGGTGGACTATGCCCTGATACCCTCTGTATAGAGGAGGCCTTTGCCCAGCAGTGGGACATGTATAGGCTGTTACTTTACTTTACTTTACTATATCTTTTTTTATGTGAGAAAGTGGCAAACGGGCTGGCGGTTCACCTGATGTTAAGTGAAGACCCCCGTCCATGGACATTTGCAAAACCCTTAGGGTTGCGAATGCGTTGCCACCTATAAATAAAGTGGGCCCCGGCTACCTCACTCACCAGACGAAACTCAGAAGTGTAACACTTCTTTACGCCGGTCTTCTATGAGGTCGTGGTACTTACCGGGACGGACCTGCCCATTCGTTGGTCGGACACTGTTGCGTGTTCCTACCACAGTTTAATTCTATTTTTTCATCTACTTTCTACGAAATAATAAACCACGATATACAAAATTTTCTTCGTTATAAATCAACAAGATAAATTAAACGAATACCCAATATTTTGCCACTGCAAATAATGTTGCATCAAGCAGTTTCTAAGGTTAACTTGCATCTAACTCTTGCGTACAGTCCCCGAGATTTTTGCAATGATTCACCATATTCGCAATGGAAACTTTATTTGTAGAGACGGGACTAGAAACAACTGCCATTACTCCGCAACAAGAAAAAGGCGGGGCCCGGGTCTATTAACGTCCGTGATACCATAGACTTGAGTTTTAAGAGATAACAAAAAAACCGACTTCAAAAAACATTGATTATAATACTAATGCCCAGTTTCCGAAAGGCCAATCAAAGCAGCAATCACATAACACTATGTCAAAAATGATCAGCTGTTAATCTCTTGTTAAACTGCTTTGGGTTTCTGGAAGGTTTGTTCAAGAAAAATTAGCTAATCACTGTATAACCAATGATAATGAATGAAATGAATGATTTACTTCAACTAACTCTTTCTATTGTATAGCTCTCCCTTTTTAAACAAAACTTAAATTAACGTCACTATCCAGTCCTGTCACCGTGTGATTGCCAACGTAAAAATCCGAGCTATAATAAAATTTAATTTATATAAATATATACAAAATATCAAGAAAAATCTTTACAGAACGTGAAAAAAATGAACTTTTATCCATATTAAACAAGTAAGTGTTATAAAAAGAAAGAATCCATGTTATTTATTAATATAATATATAATAATTCAAAAGGAATTGCATTTTGTATTTTTTCTAATCGCATGATATGTTCGCATAATAATAAATAATAAATAGGTAATAGAACACATGAATGTCCTTACAACGTATTAGGGAATTATGTTTATTTTTTATAAAAACTAAGATTTTTGATAAAATACATTTTTAACCAACGATTGATCCTCCAAATTGACAGATTACTTAATAAAACTTTTGACAGCTCGTTGACCACCGAAAAACGCTTTCAGAAACTCGATTTTCTGTTGATTGTCCGTTAATCAGTGACTAATTGCAAATCAAAATCAATGTTCTTTTCAGACGTTCTAGCAACTCAGATCATGTTAAACAACGATTGACAAGAGATTTATCGTAAATTAAAATTGATTGCGCTTTCCGAAACTGGGTGTAAATCTAATATAATCAAATCTTGAAAATCTAACCTAGGTAACATAACCTACCTATCTAACATTGTTTAACAATTTTTGGAGTTGATTTTGATGCTATCAAAATCGTCACATGAATTAACAGCGAAACGGTGTACGACGATCTTACAATACTCATCGAAACCTTTTCTCGCCAGTGCTCATTAATAATACTCGAATATACTTTGAATAGTACGAGTAATAATTGAACTGACAACATTTATCAAAGTAGTAATTAATGTTGCGTTGCTAAATTAAGTCCAAGTTAAGTCACCTACACGTAGAAGATTTTATCATGCGTCATGTTATCTCGAGCGAAAAGTAATGTTCTATTACTACTTTAACGGTAGTATAGACTAGATCAGTAAAAAGTTTAATGGTCTAGAAAATTGATGAACCATTAGGGCGCTGTGAATCACTAATCATTTAACAGTCCGCAAATATATTTAACATAACATTTAAGAAACTAACAGATTATGGTGCAAATAAGAAATTTTTGACCTTTAACATTATTTTCTCATCGTATTTTTTTATTTAGACCGTTATTTCGCACAGACAGTAATGTAAACAAATTCATTTTGGGCGTCTCTTATTTAATACGCAAACTCTTGTGCTTGACCAAGATTAGCACATATTATTTTATTGATATTCTTAAGTAAAACAAAATGGTGGCTTATCGCATAGTAAAATGACGTGTGATAAAGCATGGATAACGTTTAACATTTTTATAAGTATAGTAACAGGAACCGATATTAAGACACGACACAAAGTAGAATATACAATTTTCACAAGAGCATTTATAATAAGGCGGTCCATTACTTTAAAACCTGAAAATCTCTAATAAACACCGAGCAAACCACACCCACCTGGAATTGGAGCGTTTCGACGAGTCGTGCTTCTTCCCGCCCTGGAGTTTGGGCAGGTCCTTCTGCCGCTTCTTGGTCTCGCGCCATATCTTGTAGTACAGCACGCACATAACAGTCACCGGCACGTAGAACGCGGCGATCGCGGTGCCGAACGTGATGAACTGGTTCGTCTCTATGAACTGTATGTAGCACTCGTTCGGCGGCACCTTCCGCTCGCCGTCTATGTACGGCCACGCGTAGATCCACGGCGGCCAGAGCACTAGGCTGAAGCCCCACGCGCCACCAATCATCACTTTCGCGCGGCGTGTAGTCCTTTTCGCGCGGTACGTCAGCGGCCGCGTGACGCTGAAGTAGCGGTCGAAGCTGATTATGAGCAGGTTGAGAACGGACGCGTTCGACGCGAGATAGTCGAGCGCCAGCCACGTGTCGCACACGTGCGGCCCCAGCGGCCAGTAGCCGTATATCGTGAACATCGTGCACAACGGTATGGATATCAGGCCCACTACGAAGTCGGCGACCGCGAGCGAGAACACGAAGTAGTTGCTGATGGTCTGCAGCTGCTTGTCGATCTTGATGCTGATCATCACCATCGAGTTGCCGACGACGGTGAGGACGGAGAGCACTATGCCGATGATCGCGATGACTAGTGTCTGCGCCAAGCTGTAGGGGCTGGCGGGGAGGTCGAGGTTGAGTGCCAGGTCTGAGAGGTTGCCTGTTGAGTTGGACTCGTTGAGCATGACGTCGACTCGGCGAGCCGCCCACTGCCCCGGCTCTTGCGCCGACCGAGAGGCAACGCGCCTGCGGACAAACGTTCGCTTTGTTAGGACAATTATTTTGGTCTTTTACAGCAGAGGGAGAATTACTGTTTCAGTTTCCGTTTCTAAACGAATGGGCACACTCGTGCAGAGGAATACTAGGAAGTCACAGAAGACCGACTTGAAGTGGAAGTACTGTACTTTTGCTTTTCATCTGTTGAGTGGAGCAACAAAATTCCCGTAACCTGGTCCACGGGCGGCATTCATCTCCTAACATCACACAAACATGTTTATTTTCACCTTGAAATTGCTCTTAATTTAGTATCCATTTGCTATATCGTCAAATCCAAATGTTTACATTCGCTGAATATTTTTATTACAATTATCCCTACTGGTAGTGTTTTTGTAATTAGAATTCAATTTGCAGAAGCATTAGAAGTGTCCATTAGATCTGTTGAATAGAAACTGGGGCTTTATTAGGTCTCTTCAAACGCAACGAGCTAAATAGAACCTTGGGTCGGGTGAATACGGTGCATATTTGAAATGACAGTTGAGAATGACAGTCTTGAATCGAGTGCCTAGAGCCGGAACAATGTTTGTTCATTAAATCGAACGTAGTATGTCTGTCCGTGTACATTGTTGTGCCGTATGTGTAGAGACAGGTGTTTACCTTAACAGGCAGTGCTTCTGTTTATAACATGTATTTAGTGAATAGTGAAATGTAGTCAGTACTAATTTAATTCACGTGAACTTGTAATTTATCCTTAAACTCTAAAATCGCTAATATTTTACAGATGTGTTTTTGGGATCTTAAAAGAATTTTTTCATGATATTGTACATCACTAGTTTAATATAAAGATAATATATGCTCAGTACCTTCCTATCCTTTCCCACCCGTGTTTACATTAGAATCACCACTTTACTACTACTTTAAATACATTTTTAAACCAAAAACGGAGGCCATAATTGATTAAGTGGGTTTGTTTTATTTTAATGTTAAGTTTTGTTTCATAATTTTATTAAATTCAGCACAATAAAAATATTTGAAACGGTTTACTCAGAAAGTAAACGACTTTTCTCTCTGCTCAGGCGGATAAAGTTTACCAAAGCTAAGAGCTTTTCAAGGAGCTTTTTTCAAAAGGCAGCCTTATATTATCGGATAATATTTTTAAGTTTATGTTTATTTAGACACTAGTTCATGTAAATGTATTACATTAATTAAATAACTATTTCTTATATTTACGAAAATACCACTCATTGACGTACCAAACCATTTGTCCTATATGTATTTAATACATCCAGCACAAATGCACAAATGTAACGTTTTTGAACAAAATTAAACGCAATTAAATCTCTAAAAGACATTTCAGTCAACAAATATATTTTTCGAGCCGTAATATCTAGAGGAGTTCATATCAAGAGGAGAAATGCAACAATTAATTAAAAAAAATATATTAAATTCTGTAATTACAGAGGAGAACTTTGCCCAGCAGTGGGACATTTATAAGCTGTTACTTTACTAATATCGAGAATTATTTTCTTCACATTACAAATAATATGTCCTTCTAAAAAGGCATTTGTTGCTACAGATGACATAGGGGTTGAACATCTCAAAAATGGCTCATCTCAAACAGCATCGCAGTTACAGTGAAAGGAAATCGATCTCGGCCCCTAATGGACCCTCTATCGGAACCTTTCGTACATAATATAGATTAGGACAAGATTGTGGCTTTTATCTCTGTTTACTTTTTGATAATTGATTGACGAGTTACTGTGTGCTTTTCTTGGAATATATATAAAACATATATAAAACTTTATCTGACAGAATAGAAGAGAAATTAAACGAATTGCCGTAAATTTAATGGCTTTGTTTCCACGCGCTAGTGTTATATCTACCTTATATTTGTATAATAATTCATAATTCATTTGTTTCTCCATAACAGTAACAGAATAATTTGTTTTGTTTTTTTTTCTTTTCTTTTGTTCCATATAATGTAGTAATTTCTATAGTGTTATTTTCTGTTTGATTAAATTATAGTTTAACTGTATGTTATATAGATTGTGTGGTGCAATGTAACTTACGATGAAATAAATAAATAAATAAATATAATTAGCTGGCCCGGCAAACGTTGTTTTGCCATATAAATTATTTCCAGGAAAGTTGTAGGGTAGAAAAAAATGTTTGGGGTGGACCATTCGTATCAGTTAGTGGTATGAAAAAAAGATTACGACCGATTCACAGTCCTACTAAATATACATATAAAATTTCATATAAATCGACCGAGCCGTTTCGGAGGAGTATGGCAGCTAAAATTGTGATACGAACATTTTATATATTGTAAGAGATGGTCAAACGCAACCATAGACAAACTACCGCCATCTATACAGGGAGGTTTTTCTAAATGTATCCATTTTTTTAATAGACATAAATAATGCTATATAAAAAATGATAAATATTTAAAATCACTCGTAATTAATTAAATACATTCATTTGAACTTATTTCAATAAAAGCGAGATTTGTGGGCAACTCATTTAATTTACGCGCAATCATTCAAACTAACACGCACACAAGTTCGTTTCAAAAGTATACGATGCATTTATGAATGACTACCGCATTGTCAACAAGTTCTGTTTTTTAGGGAATAGAAGGCAATTTTTTTGAAAAAAAATTTTGTTTTCATTTCAATAAACTGTCTGTCTGAACCTCCTGTGTGATTTTGGGCATCTTTACAAAAGCCACCCTGTATAAACGGTGAAACTAGTTCAGGTAAATAAATTGTTCATGAGCACTCGAGGCGTGCGGAAACTCTGCTGGATCGCTAATCTAACCGTAACGGACGAATTTCTTGTTGGTAACATTTTTTCAAGCGTTTTTATTCAAATTTTCCTAACAATATATAGTTACCATTGCATGAAACTCGAAACGTAAGCGATAATGTCATACACTTTAATACACTGGAATATCAAATGTAAAAAAGACCGTTGCTCTGAGAGCCGGAACAACAGCTGGTGCTTCTCACGCGTCCCTCGTAAAATCTCTCACGGCATTATTGTTATCATTTTGTACATGAACGCGGAATGAGCAATCCTTTGCTCATATAAATAAATATCCAGTATGGGCTTTAGAGGGAGAGAGAGAGAGTAAATATCTTCCATTTCTGTCTGCGCTGATGTAAGTATAGAGTCAGTAAAATAACACTTTTAATAAGACTTCTTAGGCCTTTCGTTGTAAACTCGACGGTATAAAAGGGGAAAGAAGAAGATGAAGCGATAAATATTTAGTAAGAATTAATGTCCAGTTCTACATTTATCGATAGCTGAAGCTTTGAGGGATATACGTCTTAGCAATTAGTTATGCCAAACCATTAATTTCTTCATTACTCTTTATTTATCCTTCAAAGTTTTCTGATGTTAAAGTTTCTGTTTTATTCAGTTGGGATATCTTACGAGTTATCAACATAACAATATGTACACAAGATTTCACATTGCAACAAATACTATAAATGTACCCGTGGTTTCGGCCTCAGGGGTCATGGGTTCGATACCCACACGGGACAGCTATTTGTGTGACCCACAGATAGTTGTTTCGCATCTCGGTGTTTGTCCACGTGAATTTATGGTTATATATAATAGGCGTCCTTACAACACGGGATAGTGTTATCCTATAGTAATGTTTCAAAAAACGAAAACGAAAAGACCTACATTTTTTAGGCCATTCTCTAAACATCTAATGCTGTTAAATTCTTCTCGATACTCGATCAAAGTTAAGCATTGTTCTGGAACTTTCTCCGTTCGGTGCCGTAATGGAAAGCCTTCCCGCCGTAATATACCTCCGGTCGCACTGTTCTCGAGTGGGGAGCGGCTTAATGGCTCAAGGAGGGACATAAATATGGTGAGCACGAGCGTGCAGTTCCGGGAGGCAGCGGTGTGTCGCGCTTTAACGAGTCTCAGAAACTGAAAGGCCTTCCTTTATGTTTCGCGTTCTGAGTGCGATTTCTTCGTATCATTCCTGTCTTCGTTTCAGCATTAAAATTATCTATTCATCTTCTCTATATTATCTCTATGGTATGGACTATACCATACAGATAATAAAAGCACGTTAGGTATGAATTTCAGTGCTGACACAAAGGTGGATTTCTCGAGTACTATTTCATCTATATATCTGTCCACATTAATTTATATTAGCGTTATCAATATCCGTTAAATAAAACAACACTCAATAGGATGTATACGTTAAATAAAACTACGTGTATAAGATATAAAGTATGAACTTAACTAAGGAGCCAAATTTTCCCGGGCGCAATCCACCACGCGGCCTCCTTGTAAATTTATGGGTTTCACGTATAAATTACAATAAAATTAACAAACATCCCATACAGTCCGCGGTGGGGTCGCGTGGTGGACTTTGCCCTAATACCCCCTGCACAGAGGAGGCTTTTGCCCAGCAGTGGGAAATTTATAGGCTGTTACTTTACTTTTTTGGACTTTTAATTCATATATATATTAATAGTTTGTGGACCTAGGCTAGCCAAATATTATTCATGTGTCCCGTTTAATTAGACGCAGCTACGCGTTCACTGAAGCATCTCTGCACCACTGCCACCATTGCATGTAATTAGAAATGATAAAGAACGTTTGTGGTCGATGCGGAATGTCAAGTGCCCTCCCTGTCTAATATCTAACAAGCCTTGCTAGCTGAATTATATATGTGTGGTTCAAGAGCTGATTTATGATGATTTTGCTGCGCCATTGCTTTGAGTGCCAAAGAGAAGGTACGTATAATGTACATCAAATGCTGAAAAGCATTCGAAACGACACATAAATAAAGCGTTAAAATAAATTTATTTAAAAACAAATATACCAAATAATCTATTTAACCTATTATTAACATTGATCGCTTCATTGAGTACTAAAAACAGTGATCTTGAAAGTTCTTTACAACCGACTTCAAAAAAGGAGGAGGATCTCAATCGAATATATTTACTTTTATGTTTGTTACCTCAGAACTTTCGATTGAGAGAACTGATTTTGATGATTTTCTTTTTATTTGAAAGCTGGTGCTTCCCATGTGGCCCAATATTAATTTCATTCGTATTGGATCTCGGGCTCTGGAGACACTTGGGAAACTCCTGAAAATCTGTTATAAAATGAATATAGAGCGATATTTGAAGTAGGTTTTGTTTTTCATTCATACAAAATGGACTTGTTTTGATTTAAACTTGTACAAATGGACGTTGATTCGAAATACTTTTAGAAAAAATTCAATAAGTTCTATCACAAGCTTAATTTCATAAGATGTCTACGGTCGTGTCTTTTTCTAATCAGATTATAAAAACAATGTAATAATAATAGTTATAGCTAAAGTTTAATAACTAATAAACGAGTTGATATTCGCAATGCGCACTGGCACCCACGACTGGGTAGCTCTGAATTAGCGGACAGTCGTTTGTTTGTTCGATATCGACACATAGGTACAAGCCCGTATGATGATAATAAATGACCATCTGACAAAAGCAAAAAGAGAGAACTACTAAAAAGTTAATACCTGACTAATTAATGCTTGGAAATGAAAAGTGATAAATAAAATATTCTGAAACAAAGACACAGACTAAATTTAATGGTGCCCATAAAGGACGGAGCGTAGCGCTCTAAACAGCTTGATAAGGCGGCTGCCCACGGTAAATGTAGCATGTGCTACGATGCGCTACGAAACGTCTACAAAACCTCGTAACACAGTTCACGCGAAACTTAATTCATATTTTACAGAATCCTTTTATTTTTGTTTGTATGTAGTAAAGCAACAGAAACTAAACTTTTGTACTACAGCAAAGCTACATTATCAGTGAGTAAGAAAGGTTATTATTTTATTAAATAAAACCTTTTACTTTTGCAACATGTCCAAACAAAAACTTACTCAATTACCAGTAGCGTATTAAATTTTTTGCCTGTCATATTTGAAAAAAAATTATAATTTTGAACGGGCATTCTTTATAAACAAAACAACTGCTTTACCGCTACCCCTCTAGTAAAAAGGGGTCATGCCGTATAATGTAAACGTTCATAACATTGCCATTTCTTGTTACCTGGCCTAACCGTGTAAACCAGTATCAAACCAGCAACTTTACTTATAATTATTTTTTTCTTAATTCAAAACTGGCCATCACTTGACTGCCATCCCATCTGATAGTAAGTGGCGATGCAGCCGTTGATGGTAAGCGCGCTAGCTCAGTAAAAACCTATTCACTCTTGCTTTGAAGACGCCTTCGTTGTATT